AAACGGGAAAAATACTTTAAATAAACTAACACTCAAATGCTAATAAGAAAAATACATTAAAACAATCAAAAACTTACATTGTACTGCCACCCAGCAGGATCGAAGAGAAGGAGATGTGCTGCATTGCTGATGATCAATCGATACTCAAATGAATACTGAATACTGTCTGTTGACTGTTGATGATCTTCACCTCCCTCAATATTTATAAAGAATTATACGCTGACATTGCGACTTTGATCCGGTCACTGTACTGAGGTAAAATGCACACCATGCAATCTGTGCCAAGTTTGCGTATTTGGAGATTGTTTTATATTCCATATCCTGTGATCGGATCAATTTCAATGTCTATGAACTTGAAATATCAAAAGATGGAATTCTGAATACTGAGTGTTCTTGTGTTAAAATATTGAAGTGAGGTTGGAATATCTTTCAATTCATATATTTAATTAAATGAATCTGAATTATTTCATGTTTATTTCCTATATTTGACAATAGTTTCAGATCACGTGTCAGGTGGCCACGAGTGTGCGTTTGTTAAACACACAAATATTTATTCACAAAAGGCCCTCCCAATACATTGTCAGTGTGCTTGTTTTCCATAAGATTCTATACAAAATCGACATTTTCGATCCCACTGTTGTGTTTGTTATCCAAACCTAGCCATTTTACATACATTTTTTTATCTTTCTTCCTCAAGACTTTTTCCACGAGATATATATCATTTGCGGTTTTTTGTAATCCTTCTCCATAAAAAGCACCCCTAATAGGTGCACCCTGCACATCTTCTAGCATAAAGGTGGCGGGGTTGGTAATGTTGACTTTGATAATTTTGAATAATTCCGTAGTCCAATTGGGCGTATAGCCTTTTTTAAAAACGTGTTTCGTCTTACTGATTCGTACAACATCACCGACTTTGAATTTTCTCGGTCCAGCTATCCTCAAATGGGTGTATGTTGATTTGAGAATTTGTTTTTCGTTGGTTTTGGTGATTTTCGAAGGTTGTATGCCCGTCTTCGAGTGTCGCATATCATTGTAGGATTTTGTGATTTTAGGCAAGACATTCAACCATTTATAGGTGCCAGACTAAAATAATTGAAAAGTCTTTCTTTCAACGTTCTAATAATACGTTCAGCCATAGAAGCCTTAGTGATGCTGTACGTATTGTAGTGATTTATTCCATGTTTTTTCATCANTTTTTTCATCAAAGTTTGAAACTTATTGTTGTAAAATTTTTTACCTTGATCTGTTTGTAAATTTTTTGGACAACGTTTCGTATGTGTCAAGATATCTGCAAACGTTTTCGTAATTTCCTCTCCCGTTGACATGATGTCATCGCAGTAGTAGTAGTAAGAGGTGTTTTAGGTTGATAAAACCCAGTACCAGTTTCACGACGATTTCCTGTTGTGGGAAATAACGGTTTGATTATGTTGGTGTACTTGTATCTCTGTGTGCCTTTTAGATGCCCAGGCGAGTTCTTGTGAGCGCTCGATAAATTTAAAATCTTTTTGTATTCATTCAAATCCTCAGTATTATAATTTTCTTTTGGCCTAGGAACTATTTTGGAGATATCCCATCATATATGGGACCGTATACTTTGTCGATTTTCTTGTCATTTCCCCAATGTTTTTTAATGTACGGTTGAGACATTATCGGATATTGATCGA